TAGAAACTTAGACCCATGAGGTTTAACAGGAAGAAAAACATTTTCATGATGAATCAAATTAGACATAATTTTAATGTATAACCTTTATTTTAAAAAATAATAACAATAGATACACAAGTTTTAATATCTAGTTTAATGTTAAATAACCTGACTGTGAAGATAGTTATGCAAAATAACATTCTCTAATACGGTCATATATATATATATATATAACAAACCTTTGCTGGCAGTTTGGTATTATTGGTCTATCTCATTTCCAGCACCTGATCCCAGTCCCATGTATACATAACATTTCTGGGACCACCAATTTTGTTTGCGTTAATTAGACCAATTAATTGTGTTCAAATCATGTACATTATCTTAGAAGGGTAGTTAAAGGAATAAAGAATATTTAATATATCATTCAATTAATCTTGTACGTGGAGCTTAGTGGTTAGATGTTATTCGGCTTTTAATTAACTCTGATTAATAAGAATAAACTGGCGTGGGATTATAATAACAATGGCTAGCTAGCATTAGATGAAAAAATGGCTTACATGTATATACTATATAATGTTATCCATTCCATGGTTCTTTTTGTTTCACCTATAAAGAAAAAATAGGAAATAGTCATGTATGCCCGCGAGGGTCTACATGCCTTATCTTTGTAGGACAAATACATTGACGGATACCCCAAGTTGAATTAAATAATGATGTGCATATATATAAATTAACTTATAACTGCTTCCTATATATGCAGAAAAATGGTTACAGGGAAAACCAGAACCTGGTAGGTGGAAGTATTATAGATGCTACAAATTAAAAGGTGGCACCGAAATGGACCAGTTATGTTCTTTTGTACCTTGTGAACTAACTGTAGATATAAATGTTTGGTTGATAGGCTCATTGGGAAGGTCTTAAATTCTTTCACGCTCTGTGGTCCATACTCATTCTATGGTCAAAGGACGAAACCAATCGTTAACCTAAACATCTTTGTCATACCAAGCTTAGCTACAAAGAGTGCACCTATTTATAAAACTTTTTTCTTTCTTTCAATTTTCTGTTATATCAAGGTGAGAAAATTCAGCTTCTAAAACTACTTACAAATTACATATTAACAAAATCTTCACATTGAATGAAGGTAGGAATTCTATATTTTTTTTAAGATATATGAGTTTGTTCTATTAACAACAAAAACCAAATTTTGTTGGTGCGTAAATATACATGAGCCAGCTCTAATACATATATAGTCAATAAGATTTTCGTTGAAGTTAGATATAATATAATTAATAATTGGGTTTGAAAATATTGAACCAGCATATATACTTTGTTTAATTATTTGTGACCTAATAGAAGTCATGTACACACATTAACAGTCTCATGCACGTTGATGCTAAAAGCATATATATATATATATATATATATATATAGGAGGGAAGCATAAGAAAGGCATGAATTATGAACGGTGTATGGGCAAAAAGCTTAAACCTATTATACATTTATACACCAACCACCAAGGAAACAATCAAAGTGGAGGGTCCGATGAATAAAAGTATGGCATCACTAACTAATTTCATGAGTGCAGTGGGACAACTTTTAGGTCTCACCATTATTGTAACCGCACAAATGACTCAAATAAAACTTGATGAAAGAGATGATACATCAATAAGTTTATTGTAATTAATAATTTTTTTATATTAAATTATAACGATCTAATTGTTAAATTAAATTTTTTTAATATATATATCAAATTTATAAATTTTCAATTTTTTAATGTATAGATCAAATTTATAAATTTTTTAAAGTTAAAAAAAATAATGCTCTATTTCATCAATTAAAATTAATAGATAATTATAAAAATATTTTATATTTTGAATTAATAAAATAGACTTTTAAATAATTTTTAATTTTTAAAAAATTTGTAAACTTAATCTAGATAAACTTATTCTTGAAGTAAGTGAATCTTTCCTCACATATTATACACACACATATATATATATACATATATATATAAAAGAGATTTATTTACTTTAAGAGTAACTCTATCTAAACGTACTTCATCCAATAACCCATTCTATATCAAATTTTAAAGATCTAATTGTTCAATTAAAAGGCTTTAATGCATAAGTTAAGTTTACAATTTTTTAAAAATTTGAAAATTATTTGTTATATCATTTTATTAATTTGAGTTAATATATAAAATAGTTTTATGAATATCCATTGATTGAAAAAAAAAATTAGAATAAAAGATGATAAATCCAGAAATTGATATTACAGAAACTTTTAGACTACTAAATATTGTATATTATAACTTGTAGTATCATATTTTAGACATTTGCTGATGAATATTGATGTCACTTAGATGTAACAAAAACAAAAGGCAAATAGAAGGTTTGATTTATTGATTCTGTTAGTGTAATATGCTAAAGTTCTTAAATTTAAATTTTATTATTATTATTGTAATTAGGGATGACAACGGGGCGGGGCGGGTACGAGTTTGGGTTTTATCATACCCGTCCCCGTCCTCACGAGCCAAACCCATCCCCATCCCTATACTCGTACCCGTTGGGTATGTGATTTTCATTCCTATTCCCGTCGGGTATCGGGTATACCCGTACCCGTCAAAATTTTTATTTTTTATTTTTTTTAAATATAATATTTTTAAATTATTTTTTAATTATATTATAATTATAATTAGGTTATTTCTCTATCTCATATTATAATAAATAATCACACATAAAAAAATATTAAAATTCTTTAATATAATTAAATTGAAAGTGAGTATTAAATTAAAAATTACAACGAGGACGGGTACGGGTACGGTACGGGTACAAGGCGGGTAAGTAGATACTCGTACCCGTACCCATACCCGATTTAATATATCGGATTTTACCCGTACCCGTACCCGGTCAAATCGGATATTCCCCGTCAAAGTCGGGACGGGTTCGGGTATTACCCGCGAGTACAGTATATTTGTCATCCCTAATTGTAATTTTTATGAATAAAAAACAAGGATAAAAGAACTTAAAAGTTCAACGCATAAAACTTGAAATTGAAAACAGAAAAAGTAAATAATACTATTAAAAGTAAAACGTGGGTTCTATACCTTATTTGACAATTTTTTTTTTATTTTGTAACTTTCAAAAAAATTTAATCAATAATAATAAATATGTTAGTGACTCTTCTCATTATTTAAATTGATACTTTTTTATGAATAAAAAATTAAGTGATAAAAAACTTTTAAGTTCAATGCATAAAACTTGAAATTGAAAACAGGAAAAGTAAATAATAAATATAAGACATGGGTTCTAGACTTTGAGAACTTTTTTTAAATAATAGTGAATATGTTACTGACTCTCTTCATTATTTAAAACGATACTTTTTAATTGATTTTTTTAATGATTTGGAACTAATTATTTTGGTAAATAAGTCCTTGGTAATCATCATTAGTTATTGATGTTATCGCCTCTAAGTTTACTGCATGTATATTTATCATCCACCAACAGCCTGAAATTTCTGTACAATAATAGCGAACGTAGAGGGACAAATTGCTTGAAACCGTTAAAACTTTTTCATATAATCACATCAATGGCAGCAAGAAAGTTACGAAATAAATAATCACATAACAAAACTATACGATGATTGATGAACTAATGAAGGAAAGTAGGTTGGGTGGTATAGATAGTACTTTAAATTGAAAAAGATACCGTAACAAATTTGATTTGAAATGTATTAATGCTAAATTTCAAGCAAATTTTGAATTGAATTAGTCATTGCCAATACTTGAAAGCTTTTTTATTTTTTTCTTCTTCCTTTGGTATATATCAAACTGCATAATTATTGTGTACTTAATCGCCTTAGTGATCAAATCATATGAATGATCTGTGCCAAAAAAGATTGGTCTTGAATGGTCTCAATTGCTCCTCTTAGGAAGCTTCATGGCTCGAATTGATATGATGTATCATCCATTTTGTCATGTGTTGGGAAATTATTCCACAAAAAATGAGGCCAAGCATGTCAATGTCCACACGGATGCATATATAGGTCACTCTAATCAAGCACATTATGGGGTTAAAGAAACTTTATTTAAAGTACCTGCTATATATATGGTAGGTGCATAGTATCTAATAAATTGACCCAATGAAATTATGCATATTTGTCATGATTCATCATAATTCAACCTTCAACCCGGATTCCACATAGCTTTGTGAAATGCAGTTCATTGATAGTGGCGCGTGAGAGGGACAGAAAAGACATGTTCATGCTTGCGTTTGATGCGCATTCAATGGCAGCTTAAGTATCATCCAGGGTGATGAGAATGAAAGCCCAAAACCAATTCATAACTTAGACCTAAGTATTTTGATCGGGCTGAATCCCCAGGCCCAATAATTGGACTTAGTGGAAAATTATCTCTTATTTCTAATTACCTCAAAAGAATATTTTTACGGTACTCACCATAATTGTGAAGTACCGTATAGCCGTCTAATTATTTATTTATTTATTGTAATTACTTGTTTTATTTTTATTTTTATTTAATATTTTTAATAATTTATTTTTATAAATTTTTTTATATTTTTATATTTTTTAAATTTTATCTTAATATAACATCTATTATAATTAAATAGTTTAATATTAATATTTTGTTAAAATGTTTTAATTTTTTTTGTGTTAATTTTTTGAATTTATAGTATAAATTAGTTTTTCAGTTGTATTATTTATTATTTTTTTTCTTATTTTAATATTTTTATAATATTATTATATTTTTTGTTTTTAATTTTTTAATTCTCACGTATAAATAAAATTTATTATGAAAATTGATTTTTTAATTATTTTTTTTGAATTAATATTTTTTTATTATTATAAATTTTTAATCTAAAATTTATATTATTTTAAATTTATTTATTCAAATAACGTACTAAAACCCTTCAATTTCCTTATCTTAATCCTAGTCCATCCAGGCTAGTCATAGTGATATTGAGTTTGACCATTTAGCGAAAGCATATGAATATTATTTTTTTAAAAAAATAATTATTTAAAATAAATTAAAGTAAAATAGATTTGTTGTACTGGGCTCCCGCCAGGTTGCGTTTTTAAAATGTGACGAGAATCAGTATTTGATGCGACGGAGAAAGAAGGAAGTGAAGCAGAAAGCATAAGCATGAAGACGAGTAGCAGCAACTCCAACGCACCCGTTGATCTATGGTCAGAAATCCTGGCCGCTGAAACCCCACGCCCCCAACAAATCGGCGTCGTTTACAGCCGGAGAAACCCAAACCCTCGCAACCATCCCAACCAGTACCTCCATTCTTATACTATTTCTTTTTTCTTCCCATTTTCTTATTTCTTTCACTCTAACTCATTTCCTTTTTGATTGATTTTTCCAGACAACCTTCAGACCCTGCTCTTCCTTGTTCCACTCGGGTCAGTTTGGCCGATCCTAACAAGCGAGTCAGTTGGAATCGTTCCCTCTCCACCAGGTTTCTATTCTGTTCAATTCAATTAGTTGCTTTCAAATTATCATTTGCGCTTTTATTTCATTTTCGATTTTCGATTAATCCTTTTCACAGAGGGAGGACAAGTATAGCCGTTGGTGCTTGCATGGTTTATCAGCCTGGGTTAAAGAAGGACAAAAGGAAACCAAAACCCCCTCTTCCCAAAGTATGCTATCTTTTCTACTGGAAGGGGGTGTGGGGTGCGGGGAACGAAGGTGCGGGGAACGGGGGTGCAGGGAAGGGGGTGTAAATTTAGGAATTTCATTTCTCATTTGATACATATTTATATACAAGAGGAGATAATATTTACAGGTCCTATGTTCCAATCCTGTTGCATTCATTGTGATTCATGCGGATGTAAAAAAAATTCTATTGAGAAGAAGTAGAAAGTAAAATAAAGTTTTCCTAATATATTAAAATCGACTAACACACTTCAACATTTACAATAAGCTTTTTTATTTAACCTTTTTTTAAAAGTTTATTTTAAATCATGAGAGAAACTTAATTTGTTTTCTTTTTTCGTTATGCAAAACTTGTATGGTATGTACAGGGAAAGCTTGTGCAACCTCCAAACTTTGAGAAGGAGAGGTTATACTTTCAAGAGGTTGATGCTTTTGAGTTGTTGGAGGAAAGTCCCTCACCCAAGAAAGTTGGGACATGGATCACAGGAAATATGACAGAAGAGGGACCAATACCAGCTATAAGCTCCAGATTAGAAAAATGGTTACACTCTAGAAGGTTAAATCCTATCTGTGGTTCCTCTAGCACACTGTCCAAGATACTGGAGGCCCCATCCACACGTATGGAAACTATTTGTGATCTTGATCTCAATGCTTCTGAATTGAGAACATTGGAACGAACGGAGGGAAGCAATTCACTATTACATTCCGCCCAAACTGGTGACAAGAAAAGTTTTATTGAGAATGACCTTCATTTGCAAACAAATGATAGGATGCTGGCGGCTCAAAGTGGTGAAGGGTGTGAAGATATTGAAGCTGCTGTCAAGAAGCTCTCTCTGGTATCAACGTTGTCTTCAATAGATGATGACCACATTAGTCCATTTTCTGCTCTATTATCGATTTGTGGACAGTCTGCACCTTCAGCGTTTCAAGATGTTTTCTCTAGGTATTGGATTGTGCCTTATTTTCTAGCAACATGCTATCTTGGTTTATTAGTGAGTACTGACAAAGGTTGGCATAAGTGTGTGCTTGTGGTTTTTGAAATAAATTTAATTTCTCGTTGCATCTATGTATAATATAATTTGTTGTTTGAGAGGCGCTGTTTCTACTTCCTATGCTACCTAGTGCTTACCTACGTAGTTGTGTTAAAGGCTTTTGGTTTGGGTGTTATTTTTAGTTTGCAAGCCAACTAACATTGGATTGTGATGTTAAGAACTCAATTTGATGTTAACTAGTTATGTTTTTTCTTTCCTCTATATGCATTACAGTTTTGTAATCTCACGCTGGCTGTTAAACGGGAAATAGATAATGTTTTATTCTTCAAGATCACAAGGGACTTCTGTTATACATTTGAATTTGTTTATTTTTCCTGATAGTGGTTTGTGCTAGAGATGATGTAAGGTTCATGGCGTGAGGTTAAAAATTAACTTTTTTTGGGGCTTAATTTCCCTTCTCTAATTCGAAAGTTCAAGGTCATAGAAATCATGTAAAGGAAGCTCACATCTAGTATACAAGAACTACCTCATTCTTTTTTAATTCAGAAGTGTCTTTGCTGTAACGAATAATGCAGCAATGACATTTTGATTTTTCAAGCGATATTTGAATTATGATTCGGTGTCGTTGGGTTCATAGGAATGCAATTTTTCTTTTTTCCAGTGTCTCAGATACTATTGTGAAAGTTGGTGAAGGAACATTTGGAGAAGCTTTCAAGGTTAATAATTATGTCTGCAAAATAGTTCCTTTTGATGGGGACTTCAGAGTGAACGGTGAAGTCCAAAAGGTAACAGTCGCATTTATATTGTATTGTAATATATATATATATATACTATTATTTTTGTTTCCAATAGTTATTTTTCAAAGTAACTATGTTTTCCCAGCTACGATCAGAATATTTGATGAACATGTTGATAACAAGCCTTCTTAAATTTAATTGAATTGAGTGGGATGCTGCGTCACGGACAAAAAGATTGTTAAGTTAATGAATTATTGGTTTTGTGTACAGACATCCGAAGAGCTGCTTGAGGAGGTGCTTCTTTGCAAAACTCTCAACCAATTGAGAGGAAAAGATGGAGATTCTGATAATTTATGCAGCGCATTCATAGATTGCGTAGAGTGAGTATCTGACTTAAATAATTGTAAGGTGCTGGTCACATTTTCCCAGGGAACAAAGTTTTGATTACCTTTCGCTAGGTCTTGAGGTTTTAAATTGTAGTCGCGGTTTTATCATATTGGTTAATATTGTGGGATATTGCAGAGATGTGGCCGAAACTGCGGTCGTAGACGCCTTAGAAATATTGACTTTGTGTTTGTGGCCGCAATCGTAGTTGCTGACTGTTTTTTGAAACATTAGTGCTGGCCATAGTTTTTGAGTTTGGTGCCTATGGTGTTGTACTTTTGACCTTTGTGGCTTGGTAGAAAGTAGAAACACAGATGATTAGTAGGGTCATTGGCTTGCCATCAGGCCTGGATTTCGAAAACTATTTCTGTATTTAAATTTCTACTTATTTTGCGGCTAAGTATTAGTGTCTCATCTATCTATTGTCATGTCTTCTGTGATAGATTTAGAGTATGTCAGGGCTCTTATGATGCGGCACTAATTCGAGCATGGGAAGATTGGGATCTTAAGCATGGCTCAGAGAATGATCATCCAAAAGAGTTCCCAGATAAACAGGTTTCCTCTTTTAACTTCATTATTGACGAACTTACGTGTATTTCTATTCTGAATTAAATTTTACAATGTTACTTCCAATGATATATTGCTGCCAACATAAAATGATGGGGATTGATTATGAAGCTACTATCCTCTTTCGTCAAACCAACATTTGCTAATTTTGTTTAAAAAAAGGTTTAAAGAGCAGATTGGAGAGAATAGATAAGCGAGGAATGACGATATACTCCCTTTTTCATCAAATGAGCAATCCATACTTTCATACATCAAGCATGACTGTATCTCCCAAACAAGAATTATATACTAACATATAATTACATTTAGTGTTACGTGGTGTTCGTACAACAACATGGTGGCAAGGATCTTGAAAGTTTTGCCCTCCTGAATTTTGACGAGGCAAGGACTTTACTGGTCCAGGTATGTTATACTTGTTATGATTGCACCTGCTGAGTGCTTGAAGCTTGACAAAGTATTAATTTTTAGGTTAATCTCTGTCATACAGGTTACGGCTGGGCTTGCTGTGGCTGAGTCTGCTTATGAATTCGAACATCGAGATCTTCACTGGTGGGTTATCATGCAGTGGTGTTATATATGCTCATTTGGTCATTTATTTGCACGATTACTAACTTATGAATATCCAATTGCTCAGGGGAAATATACTTATCGGACGAAGTGATTCTGAAACGTTGCAGTTCACTCTTGATGGCAAGAATATGTTAGTCAAAACGTATGGTTTAATAATATCAATAATTGACTTCACTTTATCTAGAATAAACACAGGTGAGCACTTGAAGTTTTGCCTTTGATATGATATCGGATTTATGGATCAAAACAAAAAAATGACATCAGATTTAAAATTTGTCACGTGTTATGATTAACTGTCTTATTCTCCCAGGTGATAGAATACTGTATTTAGATCTTTCTTCTGATCCTGACCTATTTAAAGGACCAAAAGGGGACAAACAGGTAAAGAGTGCTTCTTTAGAGTCACAAGTTCTGTTGGTTCTATCTGATTAAACTAATGAGTCTAAGTAATGCATGCAGTCAGAAACATACCGGAGGATGAAGGAGGTGGCTGAAGATTGGTGGGAAGGAAGGTATAATTTTCATACCTTTCTTTTTATTATTTAGGCAAAAATATACTTTTCGTCACTTCTATTATTTATTAGTGTCAATTTAGTTCTACTTTAATTAATTAAATCAATTTAGTCTCACATCTTTACAATATATCTCAATATATGACCTTCCGTTTCTTCCGTTTAAATATTTAACAGATGTGACGTGTATCATGCCACGTGTCATGCTATCATGTAACGTGACATGACATCATGACATGTGTTATGTCATTATGTCATGTGTCATGACACGTGTCAGATCTGTTAAATATTTAAACGAAAAAAATAGAAGGTCAAATATTGAGATACATTTTAAAGATGTGGGACTAAATTGATTCAATTAATTAAAGTGGGACTAAATTGACACTAATAAATAATATAAGAGACGAAAAATATATTTTTGCCTATTATTTATTACAGCCAATTTCACTCAACTTGGAAATCGAGAACTTGAATGCTTGATTATGAGTTTCATATGGTGTTTAATATTATTTATACTTGAATACTGGGCAAGAGGTTCGAATCACTTGTCCCGCCACTCCCCTTGTCTCTCTAATTAAGTGACACCACACTAAAATATCGTTCCTTCAAAGTATTATGTCTTAGGTTATTTATTTATTTTTTTATGAGATGTCATGTTTTTAATTATAGAAACAGGAAAAAGGATGGGCAAAATGACTGATGCTTTGATTCCCTGGTTAATTAACTAGGCCCCAACAAGAAGGAAATAGAGGGAGTATTTACTATTTACTATGTACTTCACATGTAATAATCACTAAGGGATGAGTTAAAACTTGTCTTCTGGGTTCTTGCTAACATGGAACATGGGTCTTAAATGGGTGATTATGCGTAAAATGCCTCTTTCTTGTACTTTGGGCAAAAGTATACGAACGCAATTCTTATCCCTCTTAAGTCTGCCTTGTAGCCCATCAATCTCCCTCCTTTGCCAGTCTACGTATATGGAAATTAATTGTGTAACACAATTCTTAATGATTATCAATCGAGTCATGTATAGTTTCACATTTCCACGCCAGTGTGGTAATTTGATTGTGTTATAAGATTTGGCTGTTGGCACACTCTAGATAATAGTCGCGACGGTATATTAGTTCCAATCTTCTTTGTTTTTATTGCATTTTCTAGACACTGAATCCTTGTTGCCTTTTCAAATGTACAGTTATCCCAAGACAAACGTATTATGGTTGATCTACTTGGTAGACATACTCCTTATAAAGAAATCATTTGTAAGTCTTCTCTCTAGTTTCTCCAAGACAGCAACCATGTACCAGTTTTGCTTATTTTTCTCATATGGATAATGATTTTTGTAGAATTTCAATTTGTAGTTTTAGATGTAACTTTCCAAATCTTGCTCTGATACTTCGATATCATACCACTGAATTACTCCATATAACCTTTGGTGTGTGTTATGGTTATAAGAGTTAAACAGCATTTATTTTGATTAGGCATATACTCTTGTCTTAAATGAATTGAACAAAGTCAACAGCAAAATATATAATGAACTATTGTTATTGCAGGAACGTACTACAAAGCACGAGAGAGATCTACGCTCCTTGAAGAAGCGTCTTGACAAGTATGATTCGGCCAAGGAAGCAATTCTTGATCCCTTCTTCACTGATTTGTTCCTTGAGTCTGACCCAAAGGCTTAACAAGCTAAAGCTCCTTTTCTCACCTTCCATGGCTTTTTGTCAAAACTTAACTTTCTTGCATCCTTGGAGGCAGCTTACTCCATTGTTCAACGTGATCCGTACAAGGGGAATTTTGTTTTTGCCTAGTTAAAATATTAGTGTGTAGATCAAAATGTGATAACTTGAATATACGGGTTCAAACTTCTACAGCAATGCATGTTGTGAGAGTTTCTTCTGTAAATGTTACAGCATATGGTACTGGTATATTTTTCCGAGTGAATGTTATCACATTTTAATTTTAATGTTTTCACTTGACAACAACCTAAGTCCTGCAATATGTATTTCCCTAGGGAGAGGTTTTTTTTTTCTTTATCAGCAGAAATTAGAATGTCTCTGAAAGAATTTGAATTTAGAATTATATGTACTACTCTAACCTTCAACACTACTCTAACTTTCACCAGTAGGCTGATCAGTGTTTTTTGAAAAGGGTTAATCTACTAAGCAAATGTTTGGATTGTGCGATATATGGGTAGCAAAATTTAGTCTACTTAAAAGAAAAACGACAAAATTTAGCTTACTTGAGGAAAAAAAAAAGTAAAATTAAAAGATTTCAACGTTACAAGGAATTTAAATTTATAGGGTATTATTTGTATTATTGCAGTTTCAATCCTAACTTCAACGTTAAGGAACATTGCATCTCATTTTTTCCCCTTATGGTTATCGTGTTAGCTTTGTCTAAAAATAATTTTCGTCGAACAATTTGATTCCGTTTTACCGTCGAACACATGAATCACACGATTCTAACCTAATAGTATTTTTTTTCCAAGGATTTTGAGAAGTGAAAATTGAATAAAAATAAAAGTACTACACGCATTATTTTTTAAATATATTAAGGACATTCAATGTTTTTCGTATAAAATTGAAATCATTACTAAAAATATTAATCAGCATGATTTCAAATTATTGAACCAAAAGAGGTTACACAGTATGGCTGTAAGCTTTGTATGCCGAAACTTGCATGATATTTTCGCCCTTACGTGTTAGAACAATTGGATATCCCGTAATATCCGCAATCTCTTATAGCAGACAATACTTTTTCAACTGCATTACCCCCAAATTTTAGCTCTTTGTTTCTTGACTATGGGAGGGAGCTACTTAATCCTCCAATATCTATAAGAGTGGGAAAAATGTTGTCCAATTAGTTTTTCCCTGTTTTTATCTTATTTTATGAAGACACAACAAACAACTTTATAAACCCATTTTCCTAGTAGACGGATTGTCTTGTTCCTACTTTGTGGTTTTGAGATTGAGAATGGTTATGGACCCTTTTGTGCAATGCATCACCCCTATCACTTTCTCTTAACTTTCGGCTAGAGACCTAGTCAGACACTAGTCCTTGTTAAGCCAAAGCAGGCAGAATAGATTATTCCACATGGGTAGTGATTTTATTTTAGGCCAAAACCTTTTCTCAATCTTTTTGCCTAAACTACATATGGCTAACATACACCCAATAATCGAGGTAGAATATTTTAGTCTACCCTGCCTAAAAACTTATACTCAATTTCGCCCATGACTTTTGGACCTAAGAGAAAAGTATCCATGACTTTCTTATACCTTTATTTAGCGTCAACATATTACTATTGGTAGTGGTTTTTGCTGAGACAATGTTACTTTTTTCTTTTGTAAATCTTTAATACCATTAACTCAACTTTAGATCCTTGGTAGATACTATATATATATATATATGAACTTAGTAGTTACTTCAAACCGACGCTAGTGCACATGGTCTGATCCCTTATCTCAGGTCAAATTTTCCGTGGTCTTTAAAAATTTGAAAAGCTTTTTTATTTTTATTTTAAAAAATTAAATAAGAAAAATAACCGTACAAAACTATGTATTATTTATAATTATATGAGATGAATAATTAAAAAGTAAAATTTATGATTTTATAAAAAAAAATTAAATCAAAACATTTTAATCGTATATAACTTCAAAGTTTAAATGATAGAATAAGACGGGTGAAGTAACATTTAGTAACACATACCTTACTTTTGTCGATATGCGTGCTTTATTCAACACCTACCCATCAGCCAGTAATCATCAAGACCCAGTCAGGAATCCAACGGCTCATTGTGTGTTTGGAACGGCGAGTTTGACTGGAAGGAGAAAATAATAGCTTCTCTTTAAATTGTTACTTGCACGTGGAGAGAGACAAAGAAATTGAGTTTCAAAATTAAAATCAAACACACACTCAGTCATTATACGTGCATAAAATAGTTTATAAATGTTTTTTTAACCAAAAAACTAAGACTAACAACACTAATAAAATCGAAAATAATTAATATTAGACACTTTTAAAATTAAAAAATAAAAATTAAATTGAGTAGTAATTGAAATAAAAAGAGAGTCCAATAAGCAGATAAGCAAAAGGCTGATGTCTGTGCTTAACAGAGAAACAGGTCATGTTGCTTGCATACACATAATAAGGGCTTTTGGAAAGATAAAGAAGCAATTTATAGAAGGACAAAAAAAAAAAGCATGTTTCTTCGTACTTGTGATGAGACCTAAATATTTCCCTACCCAATGATCCTTCGTGACAAAGTAACATATTTTAATTATTTTTAAAAATCATTATTACAACTTGGTCGTTTTCTTTTGTTGAAACTTTTCACTCCTCACCTTTATGGTCAGTATCTTCAACACCTTCCCTGGTCAGGGGCTTTTAGTCGTTTTTTTTTTGTTTTTAAACCCAAATGAAGCACACCAACATTCCAATTACATTGCAAATCCAATCTTTCATAATGACCAAGGAAACTTCTCTGTGCCTCTTGTTCCTCTCTTTTCTCATTATCTCCTCTTCAGGTCAGTAACTAAAGTCACTAGTTAACACTTGTTTGCTTTTGTTTCTGAATCTGCAACACTTAACTGGGATCCATCCTTTACACTTTGCAGGGACTAAATCCTCATCATCTGATGGAACCACATTCCTCCACAAAACCAAGATCTCCAATTCTCAGATTCGCTTCTCTGTAACAGATTACAAGGTTTTGAACACTCTTACCAACACCAACCTGTCGGTTGATTTCTTCTTGAATGAAAGCCTTGTTGAAAATTTTGTTGCTTCAAAATCATCTGTTGTTGCATGGCTCGAAGCTCATCTTATAAACATTCTTCCACAATTAGACATCAGAAGCATCATTGTTAGTTTTGGCAGTGAGCGTTTGGGCCAAGATGAGATGCCTTCACTCACACCTGTTCTGAAATCAATTCATTCGTTTCTCAGCAAGCTTCCAATTAGAAGGGAAATAAAACTCTCAGTGGCGTTTCCACTTTCATTCATAGAGAATTTGAATGCATCACATGAAAATGATCTCCTTAGGATTGTTTTGTTTATGAAGAAAATAGATTCATTTATCATGATAGAAGACAACATCGAAGAGGGATTGAGCATTGTTCAGTCTGTTATTGAGAGAGCCACCCTTGCTGCTTATATTCTCCCTTGCAAAGATGTTCCTGTGGTTCTTACAATCAAGAGCCAAGATGTTCCAAGTTCAATGGAATTATCTCAATTTAGTGAGGCAGTGTCAAAATATCTTGAAGCAGGATCCCATTTCACAAAAAGGATAGTTGCATTGTATGCACAAGTACACACAACCAAAGATTTTGTAGTGAGAGAGCTCATATGGGAAGAGGGAGAAGAGATATTTCCTTTGTCCCTTGGAGAAAATCCAAGCAAGGTCCACATGAGAAGAACCCTACAAGACACACCCAACTCACCTACCACTGTTTTCCCCACAAATCCAACCCCACCTACACCAGTAATCACACCTCCAGATACACCAACCATCATCACAGTTCCTTCCACCAATCCTGTCACAGTTTCCCCCACCAATCCAGGTTCAACACCTATCACAGTTCCTTCTACCACACCAGTTGCTCCCTTAGCCCCTACCAATCCGGTTACCAACCCTGTGACTTCTTATCCACCTCCGTCATCTGGAAGTGTTCCTGTCACAAGTTCCATTCCTCCTCCTTCTCCAAACACAAATGTTCAAACAGGGCAGAGTTGGTGTGTGGCAAAGACTGGAGTTCCAGAAGCTTCTCTTCAATCAGCACTGGACTATGCATGTGGAATGCCAAGTGTAGATTGTTCACAAATACAGCAAGGTGCGAGTTGTTATAATCCAAATTCTTTACAAAACCATGCTTCTTTTGCCTTTAACAGCTACTACCAAAAGAATCCTGCGCCAACAAGCTGTGACTTTGGAGGCACTGCTAACATAGTTAACACCAATCCAAGTAAGCTCTCAGTAGTTTAATGTCCCAATTTTATTTTATTATATGAAGTTTGATTTATACATGAATAAACGATTAATTTCATCTCCCAAGTATTACCCTCTCTTAAGCAGTCCTTAAATAAAATTATATAAATAATATATCAAGTATTGAATATCTATCAATTTAGTTCTGAAGTTGATGTTGTTAATAAAGTTCAGGAACCAATTTGAAGGTTTTTTCTTAATATTTTGTGGACTAGTTACCATGATTTATAATACTTGAAAGTTTACTTATATAGTTTTTTAACTTTAAGGACCATTTAAGAGAGAGGACAATACTCCAAGAATGAAATTGATGGTTTGTTAATTTATATATATTGGTCTGAAACTTCTTTACAACAAACATTCAATAAGAATTTGCTTCATGGCAGTCAAATCTCATCTGATGTTTTATAAATTGTATGTAAATTATTTGGTTAACATGTCTGTGTAAAGATGTTTTATACTAAACTTGTATATAAATTAAACTTTATGCTTTCACAAAATTGAAAACCATTATATTTAGTTAGGCATACTAAAAAGCTCTTTTTAATTGTAACTAGGCTCGGGTTCTTGCGTTTTCCCATCATCTTCAGGAGCAGGCACATCCGGGTAAGTGATATAACATGGTTTTCATTGCTGCAACAAGTCGTTGGTATCACTAAGCCTTCAGGATACTAATCATGGTTCTGTACGATACCATCTTTTGCAGCTCTAGTAGTCCACCTTCAGTTTTAGGGTCCCAAAGCCCTTCTAATATAGATACCTCGTATTCAGCTGGTCTGAGACCTTTCCTTGGCTGCACGGTACTAATGATATCGTTAGTCACTGTTAGACTCACTATGTAAGTCTTCCACAAGAATCAACGGTAAAGATCAATACACTTCGCTTTGGAATTAGTTGTGTTGTAATACTACAAGCAGCCTACAGCTCTACAAGTGCAGAATCAGAATGATAGAAGAATGAATATAAGAAGAGAATTACGTGATGATCACAGGTTATATGGTCAGGTACAAAGTAGTATGTAGTTCAGTGTGCATTGGTCTGAGTTTGTGTTGGAATTATTCATTTGCATATAAATGGGGGGTTTGCTATTTTGCAAAATAATTCACGTGGATATATAGAGTGAGTCCAGGTTAGCTAACTCACAGATGGTCAAGGAAACAATTTCGAATCATGTAAGAGCATATTTGAATACAAACTTAGAAGCGCTTTTGAAAATTTTTCTATTAAATAAGATTTTTGTTAATAGAAAAGTTCTCAGAAATGCTTTTAAAATTGTATGAAAACAGACTCAAGTCTAATAAAGAAGTGTCATGTTCAGTATAATCATATGTAAAGCTATAATTGTGATATTGGTAAATTGTGAAGGTTTATTGGGAACCACTCCAAAGGCACTACTATAGATCATCATAGCGGAATTCTCATCATCATTTGTCATCGAGCATGGATGCTTTTAGTGGATTTGAATCATGATACTGAGTTACTCACCAGCATGTTTTTCACTGTCCATATCAAAAGCTCTTATTCAACATGTTCCTATTTGTTAGCTAATGTTTTTTTCTTTCCAAAGTTATTTATTAGGAAATGTTGTTCGTGCATTATCCAGACAAATAACTGCCATTGCGGCTCAATCCCCTTTCCTTATTTATATCAAAGAATGAGGAATGTTGGCGACATTTCTCCATCACTCCTTGGTTGAAATTTATTAGAAATATCAAATTTCGTGTCTTAGATCTCATTTAATGAGTTTCTTTTCTGATTTAATGGTAACACTTGTCAAAATTTATGATTTTAAAGTCAATAGTAATAGCAAGAGTGCATTAGAGAATGCTTCAATAGTATTTCTCTACCATACAATATACTTCTCTTCAAATGAACTCCCTTTAAGGACTACAATCATAAATGTGATGTAGAATTAATTATTAATTAACAATGAATTATTAATTAACATTGAGTTTTATTTTATTTAAAGAATTTCCATTTTGAAATTGTCTTTTAATTTTGAAATATTGTTGTTAATTCATATTTAGGAATTGTTGACTCTATTTATAATAATTTTTTTTCCATGCAAGAGTACTTTTTTTTTATTTTTTTTTTTATTATTTTTTTTTTTTACTGCGGTACATAATGAGAGTACATGTATGTGGTTAGTCATGAATACCAGGTCAAAAACAGAGTTGATAAATGGCTCATGATAAACACACCTCCACTCTCTTATAAGCACACCCCCTTTTAAAAAAAATATATATAAAATGTCTAAATTACCCTTAAAAAAAAATTCTTAAATTTACACCCCTCCTTCCTCGCACCCCTTCTTCCTCGCACCCCCTTCCCCGCAAGCAGAACGGGCCGTACTGCAAGCAGAACGGGCCGTACTGCAAGCAGAACGGGCCGTACTGCAAGCAGAACGGCCCGTACTTCTTTCAATACGGCCCGTTCTGTTTTCAGTGCTGGCCGTTCTGCAGCAAAACGGGCCGTACTGTTTTCAGTACGTCCCGTTCTGCAAGCAGTACGTCTCGTTCTTCAATCAGTACGGCCCGTTCTGCAAGCAGTACAGGCCGTTCTGCTTGCAGCAAGGGCCGTTCTGCTTGCAGCAAGGGCCGTTCTGGGGCCGTTCTGTTGCAGTACAGGCCACCGCGTCACTTTTAAAATGGCTACCTTATGACTGATTTTAAAACCCCGATTTTAAAAGTTATTTTTGTACTAATCTTTCTTTTCATAGAACAAGTAAGAGTCTTTCTCATACAAAATCACTTGCCGACATTGCGCACCCCTCTTCTTTCTCTTTCTGGCACTCCTCTTCTTCTTCTTCTTACTGTTACGAAAAGTTCTTTCCGGAATTATATAAAAATGTTCCGGAAAATACTTTCCATAATATTAAATTCTTATTCCGGAAAGTATTTTCCGGAAATATTTTGTTATATAATTCCGGAAAGTATTTTCCATAATATTAAAGTTACTATTACGGAAAGTTCTTTCCGGAATTATATGAACAATAATTTCTATTCCGAAAAGTACTTTCCGGAATGCTAATGACTGTAAAAGTACTTTTCGAAATGCTATGACTGTAAAAGAACCTTTCTTATGCTGATTATGGTGGGACTAGTCCTTTTTTTCTATTCAGAATGACTGTAAAAGTATATTGCTTAATAACATTGAGCGGAAAGAGGCTTTGGGAAGAAGAGGGGTGTGAAATGTGGGGTGCGGGGAAGGAGGGTGGGGGAAGGGAGGTGTAAATTTAAGAATTTCATTTTTTTTAAAGGGTAATTTAGATATTTTATATATATTTTTTTAAAAAAGGGGTGTGTTTATATGAGAGTGGAGGTGTGTTTATCACCAGCCTTGATAAATTAGGCCGTGTGATTCAAGTTTATCGGGTTAGAGTATAAAATCAGGTTGGACCGAATTTTTTTGGGCTTCTTAATTTGATAGGTCTATTTTATCAACCCAACAACATAAATCAATCCTAATTAAAAATGAAAAGAAACTTAAACATGTTTAATATACAAAATTTTAAGAAATTAATATTTTAACATATATAATATACAAGATAAATGTTTATTTTATATTTTTTATAATTGGAATAAATAAATACCAGAATGAGAACAATAATTATAAGTCAAATTAAATGTTAAAATTAAAATACACAATGGATGACAAGAATAAACTGAAATGTATAATAAATTATGTGATGAATTACATCTCAATTTCTTGCATAGAAATAGCGGAATAACATTATATTTGCTCAAGCAATAAATAAAAGGTGATTTATTAAATGGATATTAAATATACATATCACGTTGGATTATCTAAAACAGATTTTTCTTAAAAATGGCTTACAAATTGTATTTAGATAAAGATTTAATTTTTTTTCTAAAACCTTGCCACATATCTAGGCTACGTACAATCAAATGAGGAAAAACTCTTGTTTTTTAAAAAATTAAATATTTATTATAAATTTATGGTGATTAAGCTGGACATACAAATAACCATTATTATTTAAATATTTTGATTATCAGAGGGAGAATATAATAAAGTTAGCATAAAAAAGAAAAAGAATATTTGAATATATAAATTATATTTAAAATTTGTATAAATAGATATTTTTAAATGTATAAATTATATTTTAAATTTTTGATAAATAGTTTATATTATAGCATTATATTATTTTTATTTATTGATAATTTATTTTAAAATATTAAAATTTAATTCATAAATAATCATGATAAATAAAGTCTTAATTAGATAAAAAGTTAAAAAATTCTCTTAAAATTCTCTCATTGAAAAAAAATCTTTAAAAAAACTCTCATACAAGATAAAAGTTTGTCTTAATATACATGAGTTGATTTCTTACTTTTTTTTATTTAAAATTTTATGGTGTGTTGGATTAAAATTTCAATAAATTTTAAAAGGTGTTCTTATTATAAAAAGTTTTGTAGTACTCAATCAAGACTTTTTTAATATCAAAAAATTATATGGTACTTAATTAAGATAAATGAGATTTTTTTAAAGAGTATGTTAAAATTTGGTAATATTTAATTAAGATAATCAAGATTTTATTAGGAATATTTTAAAATCTAATGATATTCAAATAAGAGTTTTATTTTTTACTTATAAAAAATTTTTTGGTATTAAAAAATATAGATATTTGAATGAATTGTTTTAAATAATGTTTTATAAGACTTTTTAAAGTATAATTTACATTTAATTGATTAAAACCTTTGAAATTTTGCATAACATGTTTAAAATAGTTTCAATATAAAATTAACAAATACTTCTATTTTGAAATTAATGAATAAGTTAAGTTAGAAACATGAAAAATATAATTTTATATTGAAACTATTTTAACAATAATTAAAATACTTAAAAATTATAATATAGAGTATAATTTCTTTCTACTAATTCAATTTAAAGTGAAATACACACACTCCAATGTATAAAAAGAAAACTTATATTTGATTGGATAATAGAAAACCTTCAATAAATTAAACAATCATAAATATGAATTGAATCCATGTACATTTATATTTATATACTTAATTTTCACATTTCATTAATTAGGGATGACAAAATGAATAAATTTGACCGGTTGTTAACCCACAAAAAATAAATTGTATTGGGTCAACTCAACAGGTAAAATGGGTTGGACGCCTTAGTCTATTTGGCCTAAGGATAAGTTCACAACCCAATAGGTAAGTTTGCGAGAAAATAAGTTTACATATTTATTTTGATTTATTATTTTAATATTTTTTTTCTCAATATCAAAATAACTTTCATAAATCAATGTACCTAAATAATAAAATCAATCCCTAAAAATTAAACACAAGTCTCTATCTTACACGAGTATTTTTAGGAATTTTTCTTTAACTAGAGGGTTTTTAGATATCTTTTTAGCTTCTTATCTAATTTATTTTTTATTTATTATAATTATTTATGAATTAAATTTTCATATTTTAAAAATAAATTATCAATAAA